TTGATTAATTTTATTTTTTTAATATGTTAACTAAAGTGACATGTATATATATATCGATTAAAAATATAGCAGAAATTGTTATAACTATAAATACTAGTAAAACTAAATAATGCTAATAAAATTAGTAATCTTCTAAAATCTGATTAGCTGTTATATTAAATTTTACCAATTTTACTAGCATCTATAGTCAGAATTAACATATATATCCAGTATAAGATACCTGTATTTTATATTTTGCAAAACTTATACCTTTCTGTATTTGCTCATTAGAAAAAATTGTTATTATTAAATTAGCAATTGATTTATTTAGGGATCTTATAAAGCATTATAACAAATAATCTCAAAACATATATTATAATAGGCTCTATGGCAACAGTTTTACCATTACTATTTATTATTCTATTTTTTTTATTTATTTATTTTATTATCTATATATTATTATTTCTAGTTGTAAATTATTTTTCTTTTTAAAGCTTGACAAACAAAATCTAGTTAAAAAATAGTAAGCAAAAAGAAATTATTACCTTAGATATAAAAAATGTTTCTTATAGTTAACATGTTCAATATAATGAATATAGTCAACATTATGTATATAGTGCACATAGTATATATAGATAACATATTAAATATAGTGCATAGTTAATATGATGAAAATGTTATATATAGTTAATATAGTAAATATAGTAATGTACTTTATAAGTAAGTAAAAGATATAAAAGACTTGTCTTTTTGCTCAAATAAATATTAACTTTCAAAAGTTTAATTTGAATAAGTTTTAAGAAACCTTCAAAATAAGAGTAGAAGTATATGTCTTTGATCTGTCATACTCTTGTATTAAAAATCATTTGTCAATTTCATATTTTCTTGACTCTATAATCTTTATAAATTGATTAAAAAGAATTGTATTAGTCATACAAACCCTTATATATTAAAATCGATTCTGATTAAGTTTGTGATCAATGTTGATTTGTGATTCTGTAATACTGTGACCTTGTATCACATTCTGGTTGGCTAATTTTGATTGAAAGGAAGAAATTATATTATTTTATGGTATTAGTAAAGGTGTCAAGAAGAAGTAAGATATTTGTTAAGAGAACAAGAGGGCACTTATCTGAATTAAACACTGTTACTACCAACTAATTAAATCTGGTTATTTAGACCAAGTCTTTCTATACCTCGATCATTGCCTGACTGACCTTGTAGTTTGATTAAAGTAATTTTAGTGTTTTATTTATAGTAGTTTAGTTATCATTTTATTGTAATAAGTAGATTATATAATGACTCAGTATTTTTTCTAATGCAGTTCACAAATTTGTATTTTTACAATATAATTAATATAAATACAGAGAAGTACAAATCAAAGGAGTACTAATCATAGGATATTTTATACACATTTTATAGTATAACAAATATAATATATATTATAGAGATGACAGATATAACAAAAGCAATAGTTTAATAAAAATATATCAATGTCTTAACATGAATATAAGAGCATTAATTTTATGATATCTACTCAAAACAAAAGGCAAGAAAGTAACTTTTTATTTTTTTATTCTATTTATATATAACTATTTGACTCTAAATTAATTATATAAATTGTACTATTAATATAATTAAATCTATCAATACTAACAGATATAAAATATATTGTTTGTGAATTTTTGATTATCTTGTGATAATCAATGATTGACTATATCACATAATTATAAAACCTCTTGAACTCTACAAAACTAAGAGATAAGTACTATTTTTTTTTTTTGATGTTGTGCAGCTATTTATTTTTTTATTTTAACTCTACTAAAAATTGCTCTATCTAATATAGCTAACTTCAGTATAGATTTGGTCTGTTTAATTCTTTTGGGCATTATTAACTAGATAGGAAAGATGTAAAGAAGCATCTTGCACAATGCTATTCACTGTACTGTCTGTATAGCATTTGCCTTATATAATCAATTTTATTACAGTAAAATGATTATTTTGAAAATGATGAAATTAAAAAAAAACTTTTTCTTAAAAAGCTCATATTGATATGTAATAAAAGTTATAATCTAATTTTATACTTAAAATATGATCTATACACATTCAAAATATTTAATCTAAATTTTAAACATTACAATGAACCAAAACTTATACATTTCAAAAAAAATATCTTATAAATATATCAAATGCTGAAAAAATTTTTTTGCTTTATTAGGTGATATTTTAACACAAGCTGCTAAAATTGAATAGACCAGATCAGCACTTGCTTGCACAAATTTATGATTTCTCTTTAGGTAGCTTTTTATAAAAAAAAAAGCTGTTTCAATTAGGTTGAAATCTGGTGAATAGGGTGGAAGAAATAAGACTTATGTACTAAAAACATTAACTATATCAATTAATAATTTGTTATTATATATTTGAGCATTATTCAAAACTAAAATGCTGTTTATTCCAGAATATACTTGCATTTGTAGAATTTTAAAACAGTATTTATATTAATATTTATAATTTGCCATATCAATATAGAAACTTAAAAAATTTTTTTAAACATATTTGTCATTTTATTCAATAATTACAACCTCATCAATTATAAAATTTTCAAAACTTTTTTATCACAACTTTCTTCAATGACTTCAATAGTGATAATGCCTATTAATGTTAATGCAGATAGGATTGTGTACCTTTTACCTCTAATAAAAATATTTTTTTTTATAGGCATGGGTATTAATAGTAAAGTATCCATGAGTCCTAGTACAAATGCATTCATCTTTTGATGCCTCATCGATAAAAATAAGTTGTTTGGGCTTATAATAATCTGCAATATGTACTATAAACGCAGGTCTAAGAGTTTCATTTCTCTCAAGAACAGCTTTATGTAACTACAAAATAATTTTTTTTTAAAAAAAAAAAAAGAACAAGTAATGTTATATCATCTTAAATAACGAACCTTTTTTCAAGTAATGTTATTGCGTCTTAAATAATGATATATTGTCAAAATTTAGACCCACTTTCCAGTTATTATTCCCATTTCATATTGCAATTCGTCAAGATATAGATCTACTTTCTTTTTAACTAACTTATGTAAAATCTAAAAAAATTTAATATTGTAGTTAATAGGTTTTATCGTTTTTTATTAAAAATAAATAAGTAAAATTTACTTTTATATCGTTATTATTAAAAAACTTTTTCAGCCTGTAGCTTCTTTAAACGGGTTTTTTATAAGATGACATTTGTTACAGATTTTATGTGTATGTTTTACTAAACTTTCACTTATATATAGGAATTTTGCAATTTCCCGTTTACTATAGCCATCATGAGTGAGATAAACTATACGATTTCAAATCATTGCTAAGAGTCATTTTTGCACTTTTAAATTTACGAAGATATACTTAAAGAAAATTCACTTTATTTATTCAAAGTACAACCCAAAACAAAAATTTAAACGTTATTCTTCTATACATTTACAAATAAACAAACAATCGGCTACAATTGCATACAATCACGTACAATCGCGTACAATCGATTGCAACCGAACAATCGGGATATGCAGAGATCTAATTTTATGGGGGTTGCATCAATATGCAAACAGCGATAAATAATAATTTATTGGTTGTTCTGTTACATGTAAAAAAATAATGTAATATATAAAAGACCTAAATAAAATGAGTTCCTTAGGATAATGTTGTAGATTTTGTGATCTTCTTTCACCTTAATCAGGAGCTTAAAATAATAATAATAATAATAATAGTAAATTACCTATGGGCTTCAGATTCCAAAAATATTCTCACCACATTTATGTAACTATAAACTTGCAAGTTCGGAGTCGACTTAAAGAAGTTTATCGACCCCTTTCGATTTAATTGGATCGACAAACTTTGTAATTTTTTTTAAGTCTAGTGAATCCGTGGATGTAACATAGGTAGCCAACTTATATTCGTGAAACTGATTTGTCGATAAAAGGGAAATATATGAATAATTACAATGAGTCCCGCGAAATATGACGAAGTTGAAGTGACTATCATATTGTAAGCAGATTCAAGGGACTCAAAAATTACGAAGTTCGTCGATCCAACTAAATCGAAAGAGCAATAATATAATTTACTCCGAAAATTGATTCTGTGAACCCCCTATGTACGTCCGTCCGTACGTACGTACATGGAGATGATCATATTCACTTTGAATAAGGAGTTGCATTGTGAACGCTTCTTCACGTCTTACAAGTAATATAGTTTTCAAATGTTGTGCACGTAATACTGATTTAGAGGGGGGTGCATTTGCAATTTCAAAACATGAATGCAAATTAATTTTGATATGCATATCCATTCATAAATATTATAATGATTATACGTAGTCATAAAACAATGAATACGCAATAGATTTCGAAGCCAAAAATTGTAATACAGTACAATAGAATGAGATACAATAGCATTAACAAGTGTTCGATATATAAAAGTAAAATTATCACTTTTTTAACAATCGTAATTATAAACTCTTTACTTTCGTGAATAAATTTAAAGATATAAAATCATTATTTTTAATAAAATGGTCTATTATGCTTTATGACTATGCGTGCATGATCTCAAAAGATAACAACTGATTGGTTTGTAGTTATTTTAAAATCTAGAAACTAGACTCTATTTTAATAGTAGAATTACTGCAATATTAAAATAGAATTAACGGAGCGCTCTATTAACAATCCTACAAAAAAATTTAAATATAACCTAAAATAAAACTAAATTCTTTAACTGTTATAATATGGGCTAGGTGCTGTGAAAAGGGACGAAATTGACAAAAAAAAGATCTTTAGAAAATCAATTTTTATATTATAAATTCTAATAAATCGTAAGAAAATGCAAAATTTAAAGAGCTAACTACGAAATTTTATTAATATGACTACTTTTGTGTCTTAAGTAAATAATGGTCCTAATCTTATTCTAAATTGATTCATATAAAAAAATTTCTTTTGAAAAATTGTCAATTTTGTTCTTTTTTGCAGCACCTAGCCCATATGTAAAAATATGCATCTTGAAGTTTCGTTATCCACTTTGAGACAACCATTGCAAGTTTGCGTAACATTTATTATCAATAGTCCATCATAAAAATACTTCGTTTAAATTAAAAATTTTATATGTATATAAAATCATAGATTAGTAAAATATAGTAAATCGTGATATCTGAATGGCACCATAATTTCGTGTTTTACAAATTATTAAATGGATTTTCTTCTATAATCACGTATGTAACAAATAGAATAAATACGTAAAATGTATTATTAGTTCGGAGTCTGGTATTCATCTCCGAGAACTCGACACAACACAACAGGTTATTTGTTTGTGCAACGTAATCTCTAAGTGCACTTTCCTTCTTAATTAGCAATTGAAATAATTTGGAATGTCTTGTGATATGATATTTTCTACAATGGAAAATATTGAATATAAAATGGAAATAACCTTGCATTTCCTTTCTGTAACCACATTTGACGTTCAATGTGGTCAATTATTCTTCCTGCTGCTAATTAATTATTTTTTACCATCAGTAGGCTCTTGTACAGGTAAAATAAAAATGTCGAATTCTCTCGTTTATTCCTTATACATATGTATAATTATTCGTCTATTATTTTATTATACTTATTTAATAATTATTTATTCTGGGCATTCCCAGCGCTCAACTATATGACTATTTATAATCGCTCTCTAGTCATTATATTGAATAATTGGTTGATTATCCTTTTCACTGATAATAAATCAAAGTTCGAGAGGTACTAAATATGGCATTACAAATTGACTTAGCTCTTAAAAGCCATTATATTGTTACTATTGTTCTTGCTTGCGTATGTATATCCATGTTTTTTTCCCTTTAAAAATATAAAATTTTGGATTCTTGTCATATCTACTTTAATCCTTGCAATTTTCAGATTAGTTGGATTATACTACTTGGTGGTGCTAGTGCCATCACACCTTTCTACAATGGTTTTCTGAGTGGTTTGTTGGCTGCTGTTTGGCTTCACGTAATTTATGAATGTATCGTCATAATTAGTCTTTTTATGGTTATTGCAAATGATTCTATGAAACATTACCGCTTTACTGTATCCTTTAATTTGAAAGTAATTTTATTATGTCTGTATTTAAATGAGTTTTCGAATTCATTATGGCCTCTATCAATTGTATTATATATTCAATTGTAGGCTTTTGTGTAATGATTTCGACTTATACTCACATTCTTGAACCTTAAACAAAATATTGTTCTTTAACTATCAACATTCATTCATTCGTTTCTCCAAATATAGCTTCTTTCGCTTATAAACATCAGTTTTATTTCCAATTGTTACTTTGCATACCGTTATATCGATATTAATGTTTCTCAGCCTAAGGCTCTTGTGGCTGGTGCCATCCTTCTCGCTATGACCAATGTAATCCTATTTTATTTTGTTTATTTCATTTATTTTTATTTATTGGTTATATTCTTAAAAAATTCTAAAAAAATTTCATTGAAACTTTTCTAGCTTTTTTGGATATTTACAGTTGGTTCAGATGAAGATTCCTCCGCTGTAAAAATGATCAATCAATCTTATAATAATCTTAGCAATATAAATTTTGGTCCTATAAATCAGAACATCTTTCCTCAATTTGCCCCTCGATCTACCCCTGGTTCACATTTCAACCCTGGTTCAACATTACCGTATAATTCTGACGTTAGAAGTAACCAATTGAGTGTAGTAATTTCTCCTACTGAAACTTCTTCGCCTATACAAGCTAATAAAACTATATACCTCGGTCAAACTTCAATGCAACAAACTTCAATGCAACAAACTTCAATGCAACCAACTTCAATGCAAAATTATTATTCTAATGGTTCTTTACCTTCAACATCTGCTCAAACAACTTACCTTGGAATGACTCCTGTACAAAATCAAAATTCAACTACTATTCCGTCTTTGCATCAATCAACATATCATGAAAATGAACAGCATTCTAATATTGTAATAGACGAATATCAATTTAGAGCTAAAGCTATGTATGATTGTAAGTTATATTACATTATTAAAATTCTTATGTTGTTATACATTATTACATTTTGCCATTCTTTTTAATAATTTTCAATTCAATAGATCACGGAAGTCCCGAAGATCGTACCGAGCTCTCATTTGTTAAAGGCGATTACCTTGACATTGCTAGTAAAGAAGGTAAATGGTGGCGTGCAAGAAAGGCCGATGGTACAACTGGCATTGCACCAAGTAATTATGTAAGTTCTCGCATACTGTCTTTACTATTAATTTATTAGTTATTTTTATTCTTATTAATCCTTTTTTTTTATTCCAAACAGTTGCAGCTAATATCGTAAAATGAAAAAACTAATTGAAAAATGAATATATGAGAATAATTGTTTTATTATGAATTCTATTTGCTCATTTCTTCGTATGTTAATGTCACCATAATAATTTAAATCTAAATTTTCATGTAAATAATAGGTTATTTTAATATTATTGTCAATGAATAAAATATATTCAGTAAAATAAACTATATATAATTTCCAAAAAAATCCCAATAATTATATTTTGTAGGCAAAAAAATGATTAATTTTCTAGATTCTAAATATTAAAATAAAATGCAATAGATATAAAAAAAGTTACGATTTATAAAAGTACATAATATTGGTAAAAGTCTAAGTAAGTCAGCACGAACATATCGATATCTTAGAAATAATTTATCCGTTAATTGGCAAATTCTATAATTAAATTTCTTGCAAACAATAATTAATCTTATTTGAATGATATGTAAAGTCAATTAAATTATAAAAGTATATAAATAGGTTAACCTGTCGTCTGTCTTCGATTTTTAATAATATGTCTATATAAATATCGGCCTCGCTTAATGTTTCAAACTTGATTCTACATTTTTTATTATTATTATTATTATTATTTTTTACATAGTAACGTTATTACAGCCAGCTTCATAAATTCTGTGATAATCGAAAGATTGTCGGCGAACGAATCGTTAAGTTTCTGATGTTGGTTGATGCCTCAAATTTATAATTCAGACTCCATTTGACTGTCCCAGAATTACAAAGACAACTATAAAAATTTTGGTGTTTTTCGGCCTCACTTCACTCTCCCTCATTTCAAATTCAGTTATATATTTTTACATCGTTAACATTATAAACAATTTTTTTAAAATTCTCGACCTCGCTGCGTTTGGCCTCGTTTCAAATTTCAAATACGTAATAGTGTCATGTATTGGCAAAACGTCAAATCGCAGAATCAAGTTTTAATCATGTTCCATTGTGCATGTGATCCATAGTCACATGGATATAAATTTAGAAATGATTGACTTTCATTACGATCAGTGATTATCATTTTATCTACTCGGCTTGTTTGTATTATTAGAAAATGTGTTGCTATAGGTATAAAGGCGGGTAAAACTTTAAGAATGTATTGGTTTGTTCCTGTTCTTGTATCTATAATGGCTCTATTTAAACATTTTTTGAACAATGTTAAACTTTTTTTATAGGGATTAATTAAAAGAACAAACCAAATGATTTTATTTGGAATATATTTAATCATTCATTTATTTATACTATTTATACTGATCAATAAATTTTAAAGTTAAGATAATTGCAATCACGAATATTATTAAACAAATGATAGAGCCAATGAGAACCCCAACCATTACGCGAGTGTTTCTAGAATCTGTGTTGCTTGGAATTTGATTACCTGAAATTGTCGTAGTTGTAGTATTTGGAGTAAATTCAGTAACCCATCTATAAGAATCTTTCTGGTTTACATCCAGTATAAATATTTTTGATGAAATATTAACATTGCTATTTGAAAATCTTCCTGTTGAATAAGCAAATTTAAATTAAGCAAAAAATTTATAAGCAAACAACATAAAATTATTAAAGTTTTACCAAAGGCAACAAACATAAAATTATCCACTAATGTTGCAGTATGTCCATAAAGTGTTAAATCCGCAATTGGGTTTAAAATATTTCCAATTGACCATTGATATATTATTATATCTAAAATCCATAGATCACCGAGAACTCTAGTTACTGTATCACCACCAAAAATTATAATACGTCCATCGGAAGCTTTAAACTTAATCAATTAGTACAAGAAATTTTATACTTAAAAAATTTATTGGTATTAATATTGTTAAATAACATACTTAACACTGCCGAAGAACGAAGGCGGCTAGGAGGAGTTATGCCAAATGTATTCTAATGAGATTTAAGATTTATATTATTAGCTGCTAAGACAATGAAAATAAGTACTATTTTTTTCCCGATACGGCGGGAATAAGAAGTACATCCCCGTTCATCTGGGGGCCCGAAGGGCCCAAGATGAACGGGTATCTAACGGGTTATTTCCCCGTAGTGGCGAAATAAGGGTATTATTCTTCGTTTTTATATGATGTCATGACGGGCTTTACTACTTTAATCAAATAAAAATACGGGTTTCTAGCAATGCGAGTTATTTCTCCGGCAACACTTGTTATTTCCCCGGAAGTCCAGGGAAATAACAAGCGTTGCCGGGGAAATAACTCGCATTGCTAGAAACCCCATTTTTTTTATTTGATTAAAGTAGTGATTATAAGTTGTAAACCCCGTCATGCGATCATATGGAAACGCGGAATAATATTCATTTATTACGTACCATAGTTGTCCATATATCAGATTTTGTATTATATAATGGTAACTATAATCGCATTAATAAAAAACAACTAAAAAAATTCAAATTTATTTACTAAAGGAAAACTTACATTATTCATTGGCATTAATAATGAAAAATTAAGATTAATTCCACCAATATATAAAATATTTTCATCAGGCAAAGTAATTGCACAATAACCCATGCGAGATGAAGGTGCATTTGTTGCATTACTTAACCTCCATGTTAATGTAAAAGTATTGAATATCCAAAGATCATTAGTGACATTATAACCACTAAAAATGGCAATTAATTCTCTATTAAATTTAGCACATGAAATACCATCTCTATCGGTAGGTACACTTCCTACAGGCACAATATTAATCCATTGTGGTTTACTTGTTTCAAATTGATTAATGAATGATTGACCATGAGGATAACCACCAAAAATAAAAAACAAGCTATGATTTCCACCAATACATGCTGTAGCTGCGTCTTTAAAAGGACCACCGGTATAAGTAAGGTCAATCCATGGTATTGAGACATTGTCTGTTATTGTAAATGGTTTAGAAACATCTAAATAAAACAATTCATTTATAACACTCGCAACATTATTTCCACCAACAAAATAGAGTTTCTTATCAATAAGAACTGATGAATGAATATATCTTTCATTCGGAATAAAAGCAGCAAAAGTAAAGACAAAGTTTAAGAGAAAGATGGGAATATAAAGTAACATTTGAGCCAGTTAAATAGCTAAATAAAATAATAACTTTAGTACTTTACTGAAACAAAAAAATTAGCAACTTTAATACTAACTGCAATTAATTATAAAGTCACCATATAACAATAATTACTTGATAGTAGCAATTTGCTTTAGAATTACTATATGTTGACAATACACCTAATACTATTTTTTACAAAAATTTTATAATTTTTAAAGTTATAATATATAATTTCTTTAAGTTGCTATAAAATAGCAATACGTCTATTAGTTTCGGTAAAGTAGCCATTTAAATGTTATTTGCGACACAGTAATTTGTGTTACTCAGGGGATCAGTAGATCCTATATTACGTATTAAGTTTTTGCCCTGTGTCTCTCACTTCCGTATTTCAGTATTTGCCTAATTCATTATGTTGTCGCATACCTTTCATAATCGTATCGCCATAGTAATGATAATCTTACCTTCATAGTATTAGGCATTATTATGGGCTTAATCATATGGATGTTACTCAAGGCGCGTAAATGCGACAGTGGGAACGTAAAAGTCCCAGGGTCGGTAGACGTGCCAGTGGGAGAGTTGGTGTTTGTGATTCAATCAGGTCCTATATTTTATCGTTAAATTTGATTGGCTAATATTTAAATCAGGTGGGGAGATATAGCCTCTTAGTTACTTGAAATTATCTGATTTCTGTTCATCCTCTTATCTGAAATTTGTTTAGAGAGGTTTCCAAGTCAATGGTCAACTTCAATCTACAAATGTCCAATTGGGTTAAAATCAGAGACTGGTGGTCGATTTAACAACCTAACATAATTATTTCACAGCTAATGCTTTGTCAAGTTTGTATATTCTTGGGTCATTGTTTTGCTAGAAAATAACATCATGAATATTAAATTTATAATTCTCAACAGTATTCAAAAAATCCTCATGAAGTATTTGACAATATAACTAACATCTATATAGCCTTCAATCTTACAAAAACTACCAATATTACAAAATATAAAACAGTTCAAAATTATGACAGAGCCACTTCCATACTTCACTATAGACTTAATATTGAAGGTGCTTAAAGGTTTACTAAAATGCTTCCAATAATATTGCTTGCTGTCTGATCTAAAAATTTTAAACTTTGACTTACCAGACTAAATTATCTTGGCTCAGTCTTGTAAAACTAATTTTCATGTTTTTTTTGCAAATTCTAACTAATGTTTTTTATGAATTTGACTTAGGTAGGATTTTTTCTTTTAATTTTTAATACCAAATTGTGGGTTCTAAATATATAATAGATAGTGGATACTAAAATAACAATATTTTTTTATTCCTTAAGGTGGGAGCAAACTTTAACAGCACTTAAACAGTGACAGGAGGCAATAAGATTCACAATTCTTCTCTGAATTGGTTCACCCAAAGCAATTAGGCAACTGATCCTCTTTAGGTGCTCAAGTACATAGTATTTTAACCATTTATTTTTAATATAAGACATAGTAAAAAAACTAAATATTATAGATACAATCTACTGCTCTTGTAAAATATTCTTTTTGCAGCAAATATAAAATGCCAACCCTTTGGGCTGGAATTTTTGTTTTTTTTTCAAAATTTGATTATAATAAAATTTAATTTTGTATAAAAATGTAAAAATAGCAAAAAAAATTTTATTTTTATATTGTTATTTACATTGTATATAAAGATTATCTGATACTTATTAGGAATGTTTAAATGTAATGCATCATATGTTTTGAAATACACACATAATTATTTTTGTATTAGCAACAATAACAAGTTTTAAAATTTTACAATTAAATAAAGAAATTATTCATAAGTAAATTAAAAAAAAATAAAAGAATATTTTCAGAATTGCACAAATAATATAATTTAACTAAATTTTTTTTGCACCATTACTTATAATTATCACAGTAGATATAAGAAGCATTTAAAAACCTAAACAATAAAATAAAAGTAATAATGAATACTAAATCAACAGATAAGTTAATAAACTACACCAGCAATATGATACTAATCAAAAACAGACACATTTGAACCACCAAAGATATCATTAAAAGTAATAGTGATTGCAACATTTTTACAAATAAAAAAAACTACAGATATTGTTAGAATGGTGTATAAAGAAATATAGAACTACAAATAGGCCAGCCCAAGAGAAAAAAAGGCTAATAGCAACAGCAACATCAATATCAGCAGAATTGCTAATGCTAAAGATAAATAAAAAAGAAACGATACATATTATACAAACTAGCAATACAAGAATAGAACATGAAAAAGAAGCACTAATGATATTTATATACCCATATCTGATAAAACAAAAATTTTAAATAGATTCTTAGTAATTTATGAAGAATAGAAATTCTTTAGTAAACATTATATAGTAACAGAAATACAAGTCACTGCAAAACTAAAAACTAACTTAAATTAAATATTTGATAACATTATAATATATTGCCAAGTAATGGATGTAACCAAAAAGATACTAACAATTAAATAAAATTCAGAAAATAAAGATGAAATAGAAACTTACCAAGAAGAAAATATAACCAGAATCTATGAAGGATTAAAATATAACAAGTATAGAATACATAAATTACAATATATAGAAAGTAGTATAAAAATGAATTAAAAGAAATATAGAAATAACAGATATACCTAACTATGATAATCTCTAATGCAATAGAAGCTTGCAAGAAAAGATACTTCTCCATATTCTAAAAATAGAAAAACAAAGAGTTTACTGACAACTATCATAAATAGCTATATAAAATACCCCTTTGATAGTAGACCCCCTCTATTATACTTAGGTCTAAACTAGGATTAAGAATTTAGTGGAATGTAAGAGACCCAGAGTTTTTAATTAGTAATTTATATCTAACAAAAAGAATTTTACTTATTACTATACTTCTTCTTCAAACAATATACCACCTGGATATAAGTCAAGGTGGAATGTAACATATTTAAGTCATCTATATTGCTATTTATAGTAGGCAAAAATTCAATATTAATATTTTATTTTAATTCTAAACTTCAATCTATTCCAACTAACCAACCATTTTAATACCTTGAATGTTGATTCACACTTGATAATAAATATACTCAACAAATCAAACAAATAAAATATTTCAACTTATTT